CATATTTACTGCAGAGCTGCGTTCTGGGGCCGCTGTTTGACTCCTCAGTATAAATTCCTGGACCTCCGTCATCGTTTTTGAAACAATCTCTGTTGGAGGGTGTTCCCCATAGAAAGACAGCCGAAATTGTACCTGCCTCTGGAACTCCCTTTGTTCCGGTGTTTCTCCCGAATTCCCCTGTTCGGGAACCGAATCGCCGTCCATTCGGTACTCCGCCATCAGTTCAGTAATGAGTACCGCTTTTGTCTTATTGCTGGCTTGTATACCCCTTGCCTCCAGAAGGTCTTTTAGCGTGGAGCGTTTTAGTGTGGCAAAATCAATCTCCATCCGTACTCCATTTAGGCTTGTTCCTCTGTGAGTCTGGATCCCAGCGCTGCCAACCAATGTAGCGGAGATGCAATATTACCCAGGTTATCTCCGCTTATAATCCAAGTGGGACTCAGGAACAAGTAAATAGTAAATCCACAGGCAAGGCTTCCAGCAGGTAAAATACAGCAATATCCCAACAGCAATCCCAATAACTGGACGACACACAGTTTCAGGAGCATAACTGATAGCCTTTAATCACAGTCTCCTTACAAACTGAAGAGTTAGATAATCTACTAGTTGAGGAAATAGCTAAAATGACAAAGAAGGGGGAAGTTATCATCATGGGTGACTTTAATCTTCCTGATATAAATTGGAAAACAAAATTAGCTACTTGTGCCAGGAGCACACATATTCTAAACTCCCTACTGGGATTGTCTCTAAAACAAGTTGTTGAGGAGCCAACTCGTAAAGAGGCCATACTAGATTTAGTGTTAACAAATGGAGATTTGGTATCAGATATTACTGTAGGTGAAAGTTTAGGATCCAGTGATCATCAGTCAGTGTGGTTTAATATAAGAACAGTGACTGAGTCACATCACACAAAAACAAAAGTTTTAGACTTTAGAAAAACAGACTTTTCTAAAATTAGAATATGTGTAGAGGAGTCATTATCAGACTGGAGCAATTTAAATGGAGTCCAAGAGAAATGGGATTATTTAAAAGTTGCACTATTGAAGGCAACAGAAAATTGCATTAGGCTTGTCAGTAAAAGCAAAAAATTCAAGAAACCACTGTGGTACTCCACAGATGTAGCCAAAATAGTTAAAAACTAAAAGTTAGCATTTAGGAATTATAAAAAAACCCAGAGTGAGGAACACAAAATGATCTATAAGATTAGGCAGAAAGAGGCTAAGCAAGTTATAAGAGCTTCCAAATCACACACAGAAGAGAAAATAGCACAGTCAGTAAAAAAAGGGGACAAAACATTTTTTAGATACATAAATGATAAAAGAAAAGTAAAACAAGGATTAGTTAGATTAAAAACAAAAGAAGGAAGGTATGTAGAAGAGGATAAAGGTCCAACTGACTGCCTCAATTAATATTTCTGTTCTGTATTTACAGATGAAAATGAAGGAAAGGGACCTCAGTTGAGAAAAAGGATAAATTAGTCATTTATTACACGTGAGTTTACAGAGGAAGAGGTTCTATTTCAACTGTCAAAAGTAAAGACAAATACGTCAATGGAACCTGATGGAATACACCCAAAGCTATTAAAAGAGCTTACTGGTGTACTAGCAAAACCATTAACAGATTTATTTAACCAATCATTGTTAACAGGAGTAGTCCCAGAAGATTGGAAGTTAGCGAATGTAGTGCCCATTTATTAAGGTAATAGGGAGGAGTCGGGCAACTATAGGCCAGTAAGCCTTACTTCAGTAGTGGGGAAAGTGATGGAAACTAGTGATGAACCGAACAGTTCCCGGCGAACATAGCATGCAGCTTTCATTCTCAAGCTGCATGCTTAGTGAGAGGAGGGAAAGTGTAGCTGCTGTTGATTAGATAGGGAAATGCATAGCTAGGTTAGGGTATACAGTGTCCACTACAGTCCTGAAGGACTCATCTGATCTCTGCTGTAAGGACAGCACCCCAAAAAGCCCTTTTTAGGGCTAGAACATCAGTCTGCTTTTTTTTTTTGTGTAATGTAATTGCAGTTAGTTGTCTGCCACTGCTGCCAGCTTCTGTGTCAGGCTCACAGTGGATACTGTGCCCATTTGCCCAGTCAGTGCCACCACTCATATCTGGTGTCACAATAGCTTGCATTTAAAAACAAAAAACTTTTTTCACTGTTATAGATTGAATAGCAGTTAGTTGTCTGCCACTGCTGCCAGCTTCTGTGTCAGGCTCACAGTGGATACTGTGCCCATTTGCCCAGTCAATGCCACCACTCATATCTGGTGTCACAATAGCTTGCATTTAAAAACAAAAAACTTTTTTCACTGTTATAGATTGAATAGCAGTCAGTGTCCTTAAAGCGGGTGTGTCAGGCTCACAGTGGATACGGTGCCCAGTGCCACCACTCACTCACTGGTGTCACAATAGCTTGCATTTAAAAACAAAAAACGTTTTTCACTGTTATAGATTGAATAACAGTCAGTGTCCTTAAAGCGGGTGTGTAAGGCTCACAGTGGATACTGTGCCCAGTGCCACCACTCACTCACTGGTGTCACAATAGCTTGCATTTAAAAACAAAAAACGTTTTTCACTGTTAAAGATTGAATAGCAGTTAGTTGTCTGCCACTGCTGCCAGCTTCTGTGTCAGGCTCACAGTGGATACTGTGCCCATTTGCCCAGTCAGTGCCACCACTCATATCTGGTGTCACAATAGCTTACATTTAAAAACAAAAAACTTTTTTCACTGTTATAGATTGAATAGCAGTCAGTGTCCTTAAAGCGGGTGTGTCAGGTTCACAGTGGATACTGTGCCCAGTGCCACCACTCACTCACTGGTGTCACAATAGCTTGCATTTAAAAACAAAAAACTTTTTTCACTGTTATAGATTGAATAGCAGTTAGTTGTCTCAAAGCGGGTGTGTCAGGCTCACAGTGGATACTGTGCCCAGTGCCACCACTCACTCACTGGTGTCACAATAGCTTGCATTTAAAACAAAAACTTTTTTCACTGTTATAGATTGAATAGCAGTTAGTTGTCTGCCACTGCTGCCAGCTTCTGTGTCAGGCTCACAGTGGATATTGTGCCCATTTGCCCAGTCAGTGCCACCACTCTTATCTGGTGTCACAATAGCTTGCATTTAAAAACAAAAAACCTTTTTCACTGTTATAGATTGAATAGCAGTCAGTGTCCTTAAAGCGGGTGTGTCAGGCTCACAGTGGATACGGTGCCCAGTGCCACCACTCACTCACTGGTGTCACAATAGCTTGCATTTAAAAACAAAAAAAGTTTTTCACTGTTATAGATTGAATAACAGTCAGTGTCCTTAAAGCGGGTGTGTCAGGCTCACAGTGGATACGGTGCCCAGTGCCACCACTCACTCACTGGTGTCACAATAGCTTGCATTTAAAAACAAAAAACTTTTTTCACTGTTATAGATTGAATAGCAGTTAGTTGTCTCAAAGTGGGTGTGTCAGCCCTACAGCGTGTACTCTGCCAGTTTACAGTGCCACTCGTATCTGGTGTCATAATAGCTTGCATTTAAAAACAAAAAACTTTTTTCACTGTTATAGATTGAATAGCAGTTAGTTGTCTGCCAGCAGGTGTGTCAGGCTCACAGTGGATACTGTGCCCAGTGCCACCACTCACTCACTGGTACCCGGACGAAATTTATTTTCACAAAAGGCAATCCCCAACCTGTACTCGATTGTGCAAAAGGAAATAATGGCATGTCTAGCACACAGTGTTGGGGCAAGGGTCCATCTGACCACTGATACCTGTTCTGCAAAGCATGGTCAGGGCAGGTATATCACCTACACTGCGCATTGGACAAACCTGCTGACGGCTGCCAAGCATGGAATGCGTGGCTCTGCAGAGGAGTTGGTGACACCGCCATGACTTGCAGACAGGCCTGCTGCCACCTCCTCTACTCCTCCTACTCCATTCTCTTCCATAACCTCCTCGGCTGAGTCCTCTTCTGCTGCTGCGTCTTGCTCCACATCAACGGATAGGGGACGTAACAGGGATTAAACTGATAAGAATAGTACTACTTAACACACCACTCCTATCTGGTGGCACATTAGATTGCACGCGCAGTGCCCCAAATTTGTTGTGATCTATGAGTAAGGTAAACGGTTGTCCATACAAGTAAGGTTGCAGCTTTTTGAGGGCCCACACCACCGCCAGGCACTCCTTTTCAATGGCAGTGTATCTACTTCCCTGGGCAAAAGTTTCCGGCTTAGATAAGCCCCGGGTTGCTCGCCGCCATCTGCTCCGACTTGGCTCAGTACTGCTCCCAATCCAAACATAGAAGCGTCTGTATGGACGAGAAAGCGTTTAGTTGGATCAGAAGCAGAAAGTACAGATGATTTAATGAGCGCCGTCTTGAGCTGTTGGAAGGCCTGTTCACACTCTGGGGCACCATACTACTATCTTGGGGAGGTTTTTACCCGTTCCTATATGGCACTTACTGGGCTTTAGGGTCAGTCCGGCCTCCCTAATCCGGTCTAGTACGGCTCCTATGTGGGTCAGGTGTTAGGGCCAGGAGCAGCTAAAAATGGCTATATCATCCAAGTAGGCGCAGGCATACTCCTGAAACCCATCCAGTAGCCGATCTACCATCCTCTGAAAGTTAGCCGGGGCATTCTTCATCCCGAATGGCATGGCCTTAAACTGATACAGGCCAAACGAGGTGACAAATGCCGACTTGTGGATGGCGTCCTCGGCTAATGGAATTTGCCAGTACCCCATGCACAGATCTATTGTGGTGAGGTACTGGCCTCTGGCCATTTTGTCTAGGAGCTCGTCTATCCGGGGCATAGACGAGGCGTCTGAGGTTGTTTTATCGTTTAGCCTCCGGTAGTCTACACAGAAACGGGTCGTGCCGTCCCGTTTCGGTACTAGTACTACCGGAGAGGCCCAGGGGCTGTCAGAGTGTTCTATCACCCCCAACTGCATCATTTCCTCAATTTCTTTCTGAATATTTTCTTTAACTGCTTCGGGTATGCGATAGGCGGTTTGGCGAAGGGGGGTCTGGTCTAGGGTTTCAACTTTGTGAGTGGTTAATGGACTGTACCCAGGTAGGTTGGAAAACGTGGCCCCCTTGTCCTGGATTGGTCTTTGGACCTGGGTTCGCTCCTGGGGGTCTAACCGTTCTCCTAACTGTACTTCTCCCAGGTCTCCGCTCTGGCCCTCTAGGTCTAGGAGATCTGGGAGTGGCAAATTATCATAATCTTCAGTGGCAGGTGCAGAGATCGCGGTTACCTCTTCCGTGCGCTCGTGGTATGGCTTGAGCATGTTCACATGGATCATGTGCTTGCCTCCCGTGCCTGTGACCGCACCGATCACAAAGGTGGTATCACAAACCTGCTCTACCACCTTGTATGGGCCCTGCCAGGAAGCCTGCAGCTTGTCCTTGTGGACAGTGTCAATCCATATCTGCCAAGTGTAGGGGGAACGGTCTCTATTCTGCTCTGTGTCAGTGTGTATCAGGGGCTTTGAGGACAGGTGTCAATCCATATCTGCCAAGTGACCCTATGTAGGGGGAACAGTCTCTATTCTGCTCTGTGTTAGTGTGTATCATGGTCTCTGAGGACAGGTGTCAATCCATATCTGCCAAGTGACCCTATGTAGGAGAACAGTCTCTATTCTGCTCTGTGTCAGTGTGTATCAGGGGCTCTGAGGACAGGTGTCAATCCATATCTGCCATGTGACCCTATGTAGGAGGAACAGTCCCTATTCTGCTCTGTGTCGGTGTGTATCAGGGATCCCTAGGACAGGTGTCAATCCATATCTGCCAAGTGACCCTATGTAGAGGAACAGTCTCTATTCTGCTCTGTGTCAGTGTGTATCAGGGGCTCTGAGGACAGGTGTCAATCCATATCTGCCAAGTGACCCTATGTAGGGGGAACAGTCTCTATTCTGTTCTGTGTCAGTGTGTCCAGGATCCTTGGGACGGGTGTCAGTCCACCATACCTGCAAGTGACCTATGTGGGAGAGAGACAGTCCCTATTCTGCTCTATGTCAGTGTGTATCAGGGAACCTTAGGACAGGTGTCAATCCATATCTGCAAAGTGACCCGATGTAGGGGGAACAGTCCCTATTCTGCTCTGTGTCAGTGTGTATCAGGGATCCTTAGGACAGGTGTCAATCATATCTGCCAAGTGACCCTATGTAGGGGGACCAGTCTCTATTCTGCTCTGTGTCCGTGTGCATCAGGGGCTCTGAGGACAGGTGTCAATCCATATCTGCCAAAGAGTGACCCTATGTGGAGGGAACAGTCCCTATTCTGATCTGTGTCAGTGTGTTTCAGGGGCTCTGAGGACAGGTGTCAATCCATATCTGCCAAGTGACCCTATGTTGGGGTAACATTCCCTATTCTGATCTGTGTCAGTGTGTATCAGGGCCTCTGAGGACAGGTGTCAATCCATATCTGCCATGTGACCCTATGTAGGAGGAACAGTCCATATTCTGCTCTGTGTCAGTGTGTATCAGGGGCTCTGAGGACGGGTGTCAATCCATATCTGCCAAGTGACCCTATGTGGGGGGAACGGTCTCTATTCTGCTCTGTGTCGGTGTGTATCATGGTCTCTGAGGACAGGTGTGTCAATCCATATCTGCCAAGTGACCCTATGTAGGGGGAACAGTCACTATTCTGCTCTGTGTCAGTGTGTATCAGGGGCTCTGAGGACAGGTGTCAATCCATATCTGCAAAGTGACCCTATGTAGGGGGAACAGTCTCTATTCTGCTCTCTGTCAGTGTGTATCATGGTCTCTGAGGACAGGTGTCAATCCATATCTGCCAAGGACCCTATGTAGGGGGAACAGTCTCTATTCTGCTCTGTGTCAGTGTGTATCATGGTCTCTGAGGACAGGTGTCAATCCATATCTGCCAAGTGACCAGATGTAGGGGGAACAGTCTCTATTCTGCTCTGTGTCAGTGTGTATCATGGTCTCTGAGGACAGGTGTCAATCCATATCTGCCAAGTGACCCGATGTAGGGGTAACAGTCCCTATTCTGCTCTGTGTCAGTGTGTATCAGGGATCCTTAGGACAGGTGTCAATCCATATCTGCCAAGTGACCATCTGTAGGAAGAACAGTCCCTACTCTGCTCTGTGTCAGTGTGTATCAGGGATCCTTAGGACAGGTGTCAATCCATATCTGCCAAGTGACCCTATGTGGGAGGAACAGTCCCTATTCTGCTCTGTGTCAGTGTGTATCATGGTCTCTGAGGACAGGTGTCAATCCATATCTGCCAAGTGACCCTATGTAGGAGGAACAGTCCCTATTCTGCTCTGTGTCAGTGTGTATCAGGGATCCTTAGGACAGGTGTCAATCCATATGTGCCAAGTGACCCTATGTAGGGGGAACAGTCCCTATTCTGCTCTGTGTCAGTGTGTATCATGGTCTCTGAGGACAGGTGTCAATCCATATCTGCCAAGTGACCCTATGTAGGAGGAACAGTGCCTATTCTGCTCTGTGTCAGTGTGTATCAGGGATCCCTGGGACAGGTGTCAATCCATATCTGCCAAGTGACCCGATGTAGGGGGAACAGTCCCTATTCTGCTCTGTGTCAGTGTGTATCAGGGATCCTTAGGACAGGAGTCAATCCATATCTGCCAAGTGACCATCTGTAGGAAGAACAGTCCCTACTCTGCTCTGTGTCAGTGTGTATCAGGGATCCCTAGGACAGGTGTCAATCCATATCTGCCAAGTGACCCTATGTAGTAGGAACAGTCCCTATTCTGCTCTGTGTCAGTGTGTATCAGGGATCCTTAGGACAGGTGTCAATTCATATCTGCCAAGTGACCCTATGTAGGAGGAACAGTCCCTATTCTGCTCTGTGTCAGTGTGTATCAGGGATCCCTAGGACAGGTGTCAATCCATATCTGCCAAGTGACCCGATGTAGGGGGAACAGTCCCTATTCTGCTCTATGTTTCTATGTTTCTATGTTTCTATGTGTCAGTGTGTATCAGGGATCCTTAGGACAGGTGTCAATCCATATCTGCCAAGTGACCCTATGTAGGAGGAACAGTCCCTATTCTGCTCTGTGTCAGTGTGTATCAGGGATCCCTAGGACAGGTTTCAATCCATATCTGCCAAGTGACCCTATGTAGGAGGAACAGTCCCTATTCTGCTCTGTCAGTGTGTATCAGGGATCCTTAGGACAGGTGTCAATCCATATCTGCCAAGTGACCCTATGTAGGGGGAACAGTCTCTATTCTGCTCTGTGTCAGTGTGTATCATGGTCTCTGAGGACAGGTGTCAATCCATATCTGCCAAGTGACCCTACGTAGGGGGAACAGTCTCTATTCTGCTCTGTGTCAGTGTGTTTCATGGTCTCTGAGGACAGGTGTCAATCCATATCTGCCAAGTGACCCTATGTAGGGGGAACAGTCTCTATTCTGCTCTGTGTCCGTGTGTATCATGGTCTCTGAGGACAGGTGTCAATCCATATCTGCCAAGTGACCCTATGTAGGAGGAACAGTCCCTATTCTGCTCTGTGTCAGTGTGTATCATGGTCTCTGAGGACAGGTGTCAATCCATATGTGCCAAGTGACCCTATGTTGGGGTAACATTCCCTATTCTGATCTGTGTCAGTGTGTATCAGGGGCTCTGAGGACAGGTGTCAATCCATATCTGCCAAGTGACCCTATGTAGGAGGAACGGTCCCTATTCTGATCTGTGTCAGTGTGTATCAGGGATCCTTAGGACAGGTGTCAATCCATATCTGCCAAGTGACCCGATGTAGGGGTAACATTCCCTATTCTGCTCTGTGTCGGTGTGTATCAGGGATCCTTAGGACAGGTGTCAATCCATATCTGCCAAGTGACCATCTGTAGGAAGAACAGTCCCTACTCTGCTCTGTGTCAGTGTGTATCAGGGATCCCTAGGACAGGTGTCAATCCATATCTGCCAAGTGACCCTATGTAGGAGGAACAGTCCCTATTCTGCTCTGTGTCAGTGTGTATCAGGGATCCCTAGGACAGGTATCATTCCATATCTGCCAAGTGACCCGATGTAGGGGGGACAGTCCCTATTCTGCTCTGTGTCAGTGTGTATCAGGGATCCTTAGGACAGGTGCAAATTCATATCTGCCAAGTGACCCTATGTAGGAGGAACAGTCCCTATTCTGCTCTGTGTCAGTGTGTATCAGGGAACCCTAGGACAGGTGTCAATCCATATCTGCCAAGTGACCATCTGTAGGAAGCACAGTCCCTACTCTGCTCTGTGTCAGTGTGTATCAGGGATCCCTAGGACAGGTGTCAATCCATATCTCACAAGTGACCCTATGTAGGGGTAACAGTGACTATTCTGCTCTGTGTCAGTGTGTATCAGGGGCTCTGAGGACAGGTGTCAATATATATCTGCCAAGTGACCCTATGTAGGGGTAACAGTCCCTATTCTACTCTGTGTCAGTGTGTATCAGGGGCTCTGAGGACAGGTGTCAATCCATATCTGCCAAGTGACCCTATGTAGGGGGAACAGTCTCTATTCTGCTCTGTGTCAGTGTGTATCAGGGGCTCTGAGGACAGGTGTCAATCCATATCTGCCAAGTGACCCTATGTAGGGAGGAACAGTCTCTATTCTGCTCTGTGTCAGTGTGTATCATGGTCTCTGAGGACAGGTGTCAATCCATATCTGCCAAGTGACTCTATGTAGGGGGAACAGTCTCTATTCTGCTCTGTGTCAGTGTGTATCATGGTCTCTGAGGACAGGTGTCAATCCATATCTGCCAAGTGACTATATGTAGGAGGAACAGTCCCTATTCTGCTCTGTGTCAGTGTGTATCAGGGATCCCTAGGACAGGTGTCAATCCATATCTGGCAAGTGACCCGATGTAGGGGGAACAGTCCCTATTCTGCTCTGTGTCAGTGTGTACCAGGGATCCTTAGGACAGGTGTCAATTCATATCTGCCAAGTGACCCTATGTAGGAGGAACAGTCCCTATTCTGCTCTGTGTCAGTGTGTATCAGGGATCCCTAGGACAGGTGTCAATCCATATCTGCCAAGTGACCCGATGTAGGGGGAATAGTCCCTATTCTGCTCTGTGTCAGTGTGTATCAGGGATCCTTAGGACAGATGTCAATTCATATCTGCCAAGTGACCCTATGTAGGAGAACAGTCTCTATTCTGCTCTGTGTCAGTGTGTATCATGGTCTCTGAGAACAGGTATCAATCCATATCTGCCAAGTGACCCTATGTAGGAGGAACAGTCTCTATTCTGCTCTGTGTCAGTGTGTATCATGGTCTCTGATGACAGGTGTCAATC